CACACACACACACACACACACACACACACATGCAAAACCTACATTAGGATGCAAGGCTCAACAAAATCAAATCAATCGAAACCAGGGACAGACAAAGGCACATGCACAAAGTAGACACAGCATGAAAGCTATTACTCCACATTTCTCACATCCGATCCACACTCTGTTGCTGTATTTCATTTGTCTATGATCGGCAATGCTCAAAGGCACATACATCAATGTCTAGTTGATAAAATTCACAGCTAAAATAAAAAAGTGTGTAAAATTCACTTACTACTTCAAAAGCCCCTCCTCCCTCCCACAACCGCAATACAAGTATATGCACATACAAACGATATTTCGATTGCACTCTCTCCAAACACATCCCTCCCTGTCATTACAAAATTGCACCAGACTGCTTCTCATCATAAACCAAACGAAATATCACCCAGAATAACAATTAATATTGAATGAGCTCATTGCCCCTTTCCCACCCACATTCGCATGCCCAATTAAATAGGCTGAAAACAATGTGCACTTCTCTACTTCTTCTTTACTCTCATCATTGGGTCATAAAGCCCAACCTTCAGAATCAACCCCCCTCCCGAAAAAAAATCCCAACCCATTTGCACCTAGAAGATTGTACCATGCAAAATAAAAAATAAAAACATGAAAGAGTTCTCACCCCCCCCCTTTTAAAAAACCCAAAAAAACAAACAATCATCGCACATCTTTCCCAAAATATTTTCATTGTTGGCTATTCTATCATCACTTCCGGTACAGCATTCCAAAGCGCTGGGGAAAGCTGCAAAGGAAAGGCGAGAAAGGTCAAGGGTCAGGGGAAAAGAGTTCCCTCTCTGAATGGGGAAGGGGAAATTATTATTATTATCGTCGCTAACTGTCATAAGTACTACATGTGGAACAGTTAGTCGAGGTGGGGGTGTGGTGAGTTTACGCTCTTTCTTTTATGTTTCTTTTTTTTACTTTTTTTTTTAGGAGGAAAGGGGTGGGGCGTTGTCAGTCAGGACTCAACAGTAACAGCTGATAAAGACAAAGTTGTAGGAAAAAGTTAATGGGAACGGAGATACTGTTTGCCAGCACGTACTTGAAGAGATGAAGCCTTCGCAGCTTTCCCCAGCACTTTGGAATGCTACACCAGAGAGTTACTGAAAAGCTCTCTAGCTAAAAAACCCCCACACACACAGAGAAAACAACAACAACAATAACCCCAGCCCCCCAAAAAATCCCAAAACAAACACCATAAAACAACTCATCCCCCAAAAACACACCCATCAACAACAACCGAAAAAGCAAATATTAAAACAAGCAATCAAACAAACAAGCAACCCCCCCCCCCCCCCCCCCCCAACAAACAACAACCAAAAAAACCAACAACAACAAAAAGCAAAAACAAAAACAAAGCTAAATAAAAGACAAAACAAAACAAGTCGAACCAAAAACAACCACAAAAAAGAAACAGTTAAAACATCCAAAACAAACAATGGATAACCCTGTAGTCAGTAGGGAAAGGAAAGGGAAGATAGAGTTGGAGATTGCTGGCTGAGATTGGATGGGTTAATTCAGGATACACAAGAAGCATGTTAAACGGACTCTTTGTCTTTTCTGTATTTTACATGTTTGGCAGGTGGTGAAGGGCGCTACAGGTAAAGTATACTTCTGTCTTTTCCCTCGGTTGTTTCTCTCTGTATGTTTTTTCTGCTCCCAGTGCTAAATGGCCGTTAGTGTACCAAGGTGTACCGTCTATTCCAACAAACAATCAAACGTGGCCTGTTGAGTAAAAAAAT